AGAAGCCAAAGTGAAAAGGAGAAAAAATCAAACAAAATCGATTGATGTACAAATTTTTCTTAACATCCGCCAACAATTTGCTGGGGAGTAGGCGGCCTTTTGATTTGTGCCTGACTTCTTCATTGGCAGGCAGCTTCTAAATTATGTAGATTTGTTTTACCATAACGCTTGTCTGAGTGGGTGGGCGTGTGTGTGTTTGTTTGTGTGTGTTTCTGTGGTTTTTTTCCTTCTACTTTACGAAGAGTATCTTTGCTCTGGTTCGACGTACAACATTTTAAACCGTCATTAAGCTGCGCCCATAAATATCAGGGCGTCTTTTGCTGCTGCTCCTCTTCCTTTACGGCTTTTGCTTTTGACTGTAAAATTATGTAAATTTATTTGGCCATAGCATTGCCCTTTTGCTGTTGCCTTTAGTTTAGAGCTCGCTTCGCCTCTAGCCGCTGGGCCAACGAAACTTGTAAATTTCTTCTGAATTATGGCTAGGCGTAGACATCGGGCTAGTTAACTTAGTTTGCTGCTGCTCTGCTATGTGTCACGTGTTCCAACTTCGATCTTTAGCCAACGCGCTTTTCCCATTTTCCCGCTTTCTCTTTCATTTCCATCTTACTTCTTCATGCACTACATTTGAGAGCCCAAACTTTTCCAGCTGCTCAAATCGGCCGAAAATTAATTTAATTCACAGTTTCGCTTAAAAAAGTTTCTCTTTCATGTAGCTTTATGATTTGGCGGCATCAAATTTTTTGTATACGCGCTTGCAATTCAGTAAGTCGGGTATATTGGTGTGGCTAAACGAATCGATCTCGAAAAGTATATATGCTATAGACTTGAAATTTGAAATATATATTTCTGTATAATGTATGTAGCAGATGAATATTATTTTTCTTCGATATGTCTGCTCAGTTTGTTATAATCGATAAATATTGTTACTCTGACTTAGTTTTTGTTGCATAACTTGACATACATAACATCCATAACATACATGTAATGAATACACATATTATGAATGTATCAGATTTTAGATAATATATTAAAAATATATCACTTTAAGCAATACAGTCTTGATATTTGTTATTTACGCTCATCTGTAACGTACCACTAGAACCCAAGTTTAAGCAGTCTATTCTCTTATATGAAGAAGTTAAAGGAAGACCAGGAGTCAAGTTGCTTCATTAAGTGAGCAGTTTGCGGCTCACTTACCTCAAAGTGCTTTGGGCAGTCTACCGGGTATCTGGCAGTCGTTCACTTCCGTATCAAATACTTTTATATTTTGCTGAAGGAACCAAGATGCAAAATTTTTAATTATAAAAGTTTGAATCGCAGTTCGCCCCGTCGCCCTGTCGCCCTGTTGCCTCGCTGGCAGTCAGTGCATCAGTCCATCTGTCAGAGGCGAAGAAACAATGCAATGCTGAAACCATTTGAAATTGTAGCCACTTTTATAAGGTTGCGAGTCGCTGATGCTGACGCTGCCGCCGCCTCGCCTTGCCTTGCCAATTTTGCCAATATTAATTATGATTTCATTTCCGAGTCCGGGAGTACTTAACAATTGAGTGTTGAAAGTTTGCTTCTTGATGCACTTGCAGTTAATGTGAACGCGAATGTGAATGTCCTGCGAGAGTTTTGCTTGTGGCGTAACTTAATTAATTTTACATTGCTTTGAAATCCTGGGCGCTGGCTGTCAGAAAAGTGTTCAAATGATAAACGAGCTAATTAATATGCGCTGAAAAACTTTCCGCACCGACTGCAAATTAGCGCTTGTGGCGCTCCAATTATGCATTGCGATATGCAAAAACACAAAGCGACGAAGATCATGGCACTGCGGCAGCCAACGCAAATGATTTCCAGCCAGCTCCTGCTCTGGGTCGGTCAACGACATTTAGTCTAAGCTGTTGTTGCAACGGTGCGCTTCGGCAGCTGCATACGCAAAATTGCATTAAAATTCATGTGAAATATATTGAGACTTGCATGCATAATGGTCACTAAAGTTTGAAATGTGCACAAAAGTTGTGTCAAGTGTGCCACGCCCATGCGACCAGCTCTTGCCTACATAGCTACATACCACTGGCATGCCTTGCTCAAATATGCAAATAGGCAACGTCGAGGAGCACACACAGAGAGCAGCAGGAGCAGCAGAACAGAAATTTCCGGGTAGCTCTGGCCCACCTTCGCCTGCCTTCGCCGTCCTCTTAGCTTTGCCTTTTTGCGTTTTTAATGTATTTCTCTGAAAACGAAGCTCAAGTAGTTTTGCGCTCTATAAAATTTCATGCATAAACTTTAGCAAAATGCTAAAGTTTTTATAATTTAAGCCCAGCACGTATGCGTTGTCCACTGCTGTACGACAAAAAGTGCAGAGGCTTAGCAACTGCTCGAGGCAACAAATACCTATATATACATATTTGGTAGCATAGTAGCTAAAAGCTATTGCCAATACTTAAAATATCACTCTCAATTATCAGCAAACTTCAATGAGACTTTTTAATAGGCTTTAAGTGGCCATATGTAGCAATGCCATGAACTGGAATTGAGCTATGGAAGTGTTTGGCACTGGTCAGATGCTAGCAGATTGGCGCAGGTCCAGGGAATTTTTTATGGAAAACAAATTATTCATTATTTTTTGAAATATGTAAACTATAATATGTATATATATATATTGAAGTTCAGTTATACAGATGTCTGTATTGGTTTTACTCGTTTCATCGTTTAATGAAAAAGCCATTAAAAAAGTAGCTCAAGCTAATATGTAATCCCAGCGAATAAGAGAGAATAAGAGACGGCGAATATCGTATAGCGCAAATCATATAACAGGTGTGGTGCATTGTGCCTCATATAGTGTTTTACGTATAACGAATATATATATATATGAATAAATGGAACTTATATGACTTAGCTGATATGCTATGATAGCATAGTACTATTTTATTTTGCGCAACTAGTTATATTTTTAATATTTTTTTACATTTTTATTATTTTTATTAATTTTATATATAATTTCATTATTTATTTATTTTTTAAATATTTTTTTTGTGTATATTTTGGTATAGTTTCCGTATCTGAAGCACTTACCCCAATCAGTTAATGTTGTAGGAACTTAAAAAAATATATTATTTTTATTATTATATTATTTCCCTCTGCACGTTCCAGACGTTCCAGACTACTGCCATACATCTGTATTTGTACACGCCCACATCACGTCGCAATCCCAGTAAAACTATTTGTGATATATTTTTATTTTACATCTAATGCTTTATTTTGTATTTGAATAATTTAAAGATTCCTTCTTATAATGTTTCTTATGCACAATTAATTTAGCATAGTTCTAGTTAATAATTAGTGAATTTTATAGATACGTTGTTTGGTTGCGTCTTCCATAGCCACCAATAGCACTGAGAAAACTCGATTTAATGCATTTGCCTCTTGCGTTTTGCTTTCTTGGTTAATTATTTATTCATATATGCAGTAAATACAGTCTAGTGTTAATATTATATTACTTGTCTGAAAGTTGTCGATCGACCCTCGAATGCCTTAGAGCTAATATGTATCCCTAGCCATGATTTCAAGTTGCTTTATAAACACACATAGTTAATATATGGAACACGTTGCCAATGAGCCCAGGGCTTGACTCATCGATGGCGCCACAAAGCCATCTTTAGATTTTACTTGATCTGAGTGAATTTTTTAATAGTTTTTCAATTTTAAATGTAATTCAAATTGTGTTCTATTGAAAGTTATGGATTGTTCCGAAAAGTTTAAAAATTCCACAAATTTATATTGGCTTATCGTAAAGATAAATTTATCTGAGAAGTTGAAGATATTATTGAAAGTTGAAGTTCAGCTTGAATCAGGAAGTTGTGTTCGTGGTAGCTACCGATTCGATTGGCCCGGAACTGATTAAGATGATGTGCTCTATTACTTACTATTTTTACTTTAAGTACAACTACACAGAAATCGCAATTGGATGTGCTTATATGTTAGCTTGGCCTATTTCTTTTAATGGCATTATGACGAATGGATAATATACAAGTACAAACGAATATCGTATCAATATTTGTCATACGTGTGTCAGACAGCAAATATCGTAAAACGAATATCGTATGACGAACATCGTAAAACGAATATCGTAAGAATATCGTATAACGAATATCGTATGACGAATATCGTATGACGAATATCGTAAAACGAATATCGTACGACAAATCTCGTTTCAATATTCGGTATACGAATGTCGGACAGCAAATATTGTATAACAAATATCATTCACGAATATCGTATAACGAATATTGCATATCGTATTTTGCACAAAGAGTATCAGTAACGTACATACAAACGAATATCGTATATCGTTAGGTGATAAAGCTGCACAAATACAGCGCCCTTAATGGCTTTACTCTACTCAGTAAGTGTAATTTTGTAAAATGCATCTTTTGTATTTTATATTTTTGGGTTTATTTATGGTATTCTTGATATTTTGGTGGTACAACATGGTTTCTTAATGCTAGAAAATGTCCATTGAAAAGTCAACGCTATTAATAAATAAGTGAATTTCGAGTGCGCTTAAAACTAAGTTGAGCAAAATAATAAAATAAACAAGAAAAAATTAGAAAAATTAAAAAGATATTTGTTTTTAAAAAAATATCTTATTGCTAACGTTTTACAATGGTGTTTCAATTTGGTATTCATGATTTTATTTAAAACTAAATAATATCACTATAAAATGCTGGCTTAATTTACATATATATTATTTACGCAGTGTAGCTTTTGTGTTCTTTTTTTCCCGTTTTTTTTCTCTGCTTGTTTTTAATGAAATACATAAAATGTAATTCACATTCAAATATCTAATGCATATTTACATGACCTACTTCGACTGGATTATCCGACTATGGATTTACTGCTCTTACACGTAGATACACATACATATACATATATATATATATATATGTATATTTGTATTCTTTATTCGTATATTGCATTTCGCATTTTATGTTTCCGATTTTATATTTCTCGTTGTTTTTTTTTTTGGTTTTTGGTTTTTGCTAATTAAATCGCTGACAAAATGCTTGATAAATTATTTACATTGGATGTTGTTTAGTTGTTTTTTGCATAATTTTTACATATATTTTCACAAAAACTCATAGGGCTATCTCTTTGGTTTGTTTTCTAGGCAACGCAAAAAATAATTTATTCATTGACAAAATTTAATTAAAAGTGCTTTACTTAAGCTGAAAAACTATTGCAGCAACTGGAACGCGTCTTACACAGGCCAACAAAATCGAGGACACCAAGAATCAAACTGAGCTAATATTTTGTATTTGAAAGCTAAATACATTGAGATATACTTGTTTAATAGTAATTTGAGGATCTGTCATAAATGATTTCTAGATGCTAAGGATCACTTGCTCTATACCAACTCTGCCCGTATCCCTCTCCCTTGGCCTCTTTGTCTTCAAATCTATTGCAGCAAATGATGTCTCAGTGATAAAAATATGATATAAACATTTAAAGGGCATTTTACTTTCAGAAACTTTAAAGATATATTTAGGTCTATTCAGGTCAGATCTCTCCAAAGCTGGGAATTCTGAACAACTCAAATTTAGTGAGCTATTCCAGCATTAGATGCCTATTTAAGTTATTAAAAAGTCATAAAGTCTGATTCCTGTTTACCAAATTCTGTTGGACTGTGTAGTGTTAGCCTTCATATACTACCCTATCGTAGTTAGCAAATGAATACAATGTAACGTTTATATGCATGCAAGCTTTAGTCAATGCAGTGTCTGTGGAAGGTCCATGCTTACCCCAAGCCCAATCGCAGTCTGTCGAACTGACTGTTCCGTAAGCCGAAGACGAGCAGCAAAGCGCCACGCAGCAGCAGACAGTGGGGCAAAGCATTCTGTAGACTGCTCAGAGCGCCGCTGTTGCTTCTCGACTTGGAACTGGCCACGACCTCGGCATCCTCGGGCGCAATATCCATGCTGTTGCTGGCGACAATAAATTGGAATATATCGCTGACCTAAGAAGGTAAAAGTCAAGGGAATAGGGAATATATGTTTAGTATAAACAGAGAAAATATGCTGAGAACCCGTTTTAAACTCTACTCTACGCTAATAACCCAACTCACCTCATTCCAGCCATATCGATTTTTAGCTTGAACAATTGCTTCGTAATAGGCGCCAGGATGCAAGTGCTTAATAGTGTACGACATGATGTGAGTTAGCGGCTCGGAGGCTGGACGATGCTCGGGTGTCAGTATAAAATCGTGCCATCTGCCTGGCTGCTGGAAAGTGTCGTTCATCTGAGAGGCGAGAGAGAATGAAATCAACGTGAAATTAGCACCAATAAATTTGAATATTGTCCAGACTTAGGCCTCAATTCGTTGGACTTACCAGCACACGTCTATAGAGCAGACGCACCTCCTCGAGCGGCGGATAACTGTCTATTTTCCATGTCAAGTTGTAGCTGTCCGAGGAGCGACCCCACTTGGGGGAATAAAACTCAGCCGGGCCCGGCCGTCCCGACAGCTCCATGTATTTGCGCGAGCGCCCCAAAGAGTTGTCAGCAACGCAGCTGTCCAGAAGAAAGTTGAGTTTAGAGACTGTGTCACATGCCTAACTTCTGCTGTCTATTAATAACTACGCTCGTTCAGCTTGTGAGAAGAGTATATTAGCTTCTTGCCTCAGCCTGACAGTCTGACTGGCTACAACTGTCAGCAGCCACTTGCCAACAAGCCTGGTTGACGACGGATGTGTTCTATGGAGTCAACTCAACTTGACTCCAACTAGACCCTTAACAAAAACAAAAACAAAAACATAAACTTTCTTGCTATATGTGAAATGTTTTGTCAACGTTGGGAAACTTCAGACAGACTGACAGTGATGGGCTGCAAACTTGTTTGTTTCTGTAAATGGTCAAGAGACGATGTCTCTTGGCAAGGTGGCCAAGTAACTATATGTAGCTGTGGCTGTTGTTAACTCTTCCATCATTCAGATAGAAGTTACAGTGTTCTAGTTCACCTGTAGTTGCCGAAGTCCTCCTGCTGGATGTGTCTGATGGTCAGAGTGTGTCGATTGGCTCGTGTATTCATAATCCTTCGATCAGTTGTTTGTATGGGAAATGAGTTTTGATACCAGGAGACCTGCGGAGATAACACGATGTAAATGATTGATGCAGATGATTATGAGCAATAGAATTGAAAGCTAAAGGGAAGAGCTTAACGCACCGTAGCAACTGGATCGGCGTAAACAATGCAAACGAGTTTCGCCTCGAATCCCTCGCCAGAATGTATCCAGGATTTCTCCACCTGAATATCGGGTGGGTCTGAAAACAGATTAGACAAGTTAAGGCTATACAATGGTGGCTCTAAATTAGGCTTAATTCTATTTAAAAAAATTTGACTCAAAAGGCCAACAAATACTCAGGTTTGAATACTGTACAAAGCCATGAATATTTCATAGCAATTGCTCACATTAATTTAGTGCATAAATTCATTAAATAAAAGCATAAATTATTATAAATACATTTATATATAAAAAAGAAAACAATAGTCAAAGACTTCTAATTATATAGAAAAATATTTATGAAAGAAAAAAATTCTAAAATAATATAACAAATTTTATATTCGAAATTGTGTTTACTCATAATTAAAATTCATATTTTTTTAATATGATTTGCTTAGCTATAATTTAAATTATTATTTTAATGTTCGACCTGCTTTAGTCGCTGACTAACTCTGTTCAACAAAATTGATTATTGTTTTATAATAATTTTAAAACTATTTTTTACATAGATTTCGAATCTGAAAATTTTTTGAAGCAGCTCAAAATTTGAAGCCAAAGGAGAAAGTAATTTTTTTTTATTTTTTAAGTTATTTAAGAAACAATCAAAGAATGTGCATTAACCTTATGCTATTGCCACTTGGTTTGTATAGCCAAACTTTGCTAATAGCTGAGCTTCTGCTACTAAGAACTGAATTTTCATTTGCATTAAAAATGCATTCAACATTTTATCTAAGCTGAAAACTAAAATTTTGGCTGCACAGTGTAAAAATAATTTGCAAATTTTGTAGTCGAATGAATCGTTAAATATATATAGGTGTCTGTATATATTATTCAGGATAAACTTACATAGAACATCGAGGCGCATATCGACTGTGACTGGGTCACCGACTCCATTGTCGGCGGTGCATTGATAGACGCCCGCCTGCTGGCGCTCCAATTTGTCCAGTGTGAGAATAGGTCCATCGCCGATTCTGGCTGGCGATTTACCCGTGCCGCTCTGTTAGAGAAGAAGAAGAGAATTGCTTGGCAATAAATGTAAAGTCATTGAGGGCGAGAGCAGTGGATGTCAAAAAGTCAACTACAGTTGTCAACAGAAACTGAAAAAGAGGAATGAAAGAAAGACACTCGACGACTCAAGGAGTCACAGTTAACCCGTTGTTCCTACAACTAAATGTAAGCAACCAAATCGAGAACAAGATGAAATTGTTCGGCAACAGCAGAGAGAGTGAGAGAGAGAGGGAGGGGAGTGTCACAAGAGGCCATGTATGTGTAGCCAGTCTGTCTTTTGGCTGAGACAGTCGTGTCCTGGGCCAACGGGGAACACGTGTCGATATCAGCTCCAAAAGCAAATAGAAAATCGAACTTACATGCTGTGGGTCGTGTTAAGGTTGCCGGAAATGGCACTAGATTGAAGCGAAATTAAATGACATACAACTTCTTCTTCTTCCTCTTCTTCTGCTACTACGACTTTTCTTTCTTCTTCCTTCTTGGCACCCGCACACTCACAGTCGCATCGAGTGATTGAGCTTTGCCCATGTCAAGAGCAAAGCATGCAAGCAAACAAATCGAACGGAAATGTCTAAAAGTGCAGCAAGCCAAACGTTGTCTCTGCTTGGCAAGCAGAAGGTAGCAGGTGGAAGGTGCAACCCAGCAGGTAGATCAACTTCCTAGACACAAATATATTCTCTCTCTCTCTCTCTCTGAGCACACTTTGTCACTTGTTTCATTGAACAGTTACCAAATCTCTATTTCCAATGTTCTCAAAGAGAGCGGGACGGAAAAACAGACAGACGGACAGGGCTATATATTATATATATACTTTATGTATACGCTGGGATCTGCCACGCCCCCTTCTGCATGTTACATACATTTTAATAAAATCATTATACGCTAATTTCGCATTTTTAAAGAAATCAGCATATAAAAGCACATTATCTTTATATAATTTATGAAGTATAGGTATATATGTAAAGCATATATATTCCCGATCAGAATGACAAGTTGTGTGTATATAGCTAGCTTCTAACTTAATTCAAAATGAGTGTGAATTCTCACTCAAAAAGGTCTCAAGAGCTCTGCTGCAGTTGGCTCTCGAGTGACTTTTGGGTATAAAAGGGCGCCGCAGCAGCTGTGGGCGATCAGTCGAGTTGATGACCTGGACTGGGTCAGTCGCTGTGCGGTGCAGTGCAAATAGTGAATTAATTTAAGTTTTTTGTTAAATTGTTTAAGTTTAAATTATTTGTATTTCTCTAATAAATATTGTATTTGTTTAAATATATTTAAGGTTTTTTTTTTGTAAATATTTGAATATATATTTAAGTTTTTTTTGTTTAATAAACATATAAGTGTTTAAATGTTGAAAATATATCATTTTAGTATTTTAGTTACTTATAGGTTATTTATTTTAGTTATTTATAAACACTAATTGTGATTATAATAATGAAGTTTGTCGTAATCTTCATTAGCGACAATGATCATTAAGAAAAATGATGATTTGTGTACATGATTATTACTGGTAAAAATCATTAACGATAATGATCATTACCAATATGATTTTCTTATGATCATTTTCGTAATGTTAATTATGTTACGATTCAAATACCCAGGCTGCTTACTAAATTTATTATTATTATATATTTGTTAAAGTAAATAATAGTTAATAGCATTTTATTTTATATATTATTTACATACTTATAAATATATTTATATTTAACAAGTAAGAAAGCTCTAGTCGGTGCCCGACTAGGAGATACCCTGATCCCAGTCCCATTTGCATTTTTTAATATTTTCCATAATTTGTAACAAGAATTTCAAAAAAGAGAAAAAAAGCCGACGTCAGGGCACCAAAATTTCTATATATAAAATATTTATATATATCTATATATAATATTTATATATATATATATAAAATATTTATATATATATAATAAGGGTATTAATATTAAATATTTCTTCTTATTTTACCGTTTATTTTCTTTTTTACTTATTACTATTTATTTCAGACAGCTTTGTTCATCCCCTGCAACTTCAATTAATGATATATTACTAACCTTTTTGGTCCAGTAAATGGATGGCACCGGATTACCCGAGCCCTTGCACTCCAGCGTAATGGGTCCGCCTTTGCGTGCCTGCAATTGGCCAGACGTGGGTATGGCACGCACGCTGGGAGGCACTGTAAAGAGAGTAGAATTATGAGTTTAGCATATTTCTCATTAATATTCATTGCCAGTTGAGTTGTTCCAAGTTTGTGAACTGTGACACTTACCCAATATTTCCACCGTATGCACTTGATCACGATTGATTTTGTCACTGATTTGGCACACGTAGTCGCCGGCGTCTTGCGGCTCCAAATCGGATATCTCCAGATTGTAGCCATCTATCAGTCTCACGCGCTCATCCCGTGTCACCATAATGTTCGAGGCGGTGAGCACATTTGTGCCGCGGCGCCACAACAACACGAAATTGCCTGCGAAGGAAACACACACAAAATATATGAAAAGGCGTTAACAAAAATGTCATCGTGTGTGCTCCTCTTCTTCTTGTTGTTTGTGGGAAAAATTATTGTTAAATACCACAGTGCAAATATTAAGAGGCGAGGGTGGTACGAACAGAATGGATAATAAAAAGACTTTGCTTGCGCTGCTTCAAGATTATCTTCCCTTATACACTCACAGCCTGGCTTCCCTCTTACTATAGGGAACTTTCTAGCTACTTCAAGGTGTGCTTTAAGCTATAAAGTGAAATGAATATCGGGTCTGTTTGAAATGTCCTCACAGCTCTACATCCGTTCGAACAGAATGCTGTTGCTGCAGCTGGCTCTTCAACAGACCTTCTGTTGAGCTATATCCAAAATAATGTCTCTAAGTGAACTGAAGTTGTGGAAAATCTAATTTCCAAATTATTTGAGTTAATCTAGTCTAATTGCCTTAGGAGATACCTGTAAATTCTTTGGGGCCAGCAGAAATTGATTTTTGAATACTTTTCGCTGCTTCTGGACTATGAACAACTTTTAAGCTGGCTTCCGGCTGCAAAATTCTTACTTTAAGTCTTGAAAGAAAAATATTTCAATCTGAGTGAGCTGCTTGAGGCTTCGATTGCCATTTTTACTACACAATTTTTGGCCAGTTGGAAAAGAAATGTTTGAACTGCTTTCAGCTTTGTTGTGTGCAGAAGCTTTTTCATTTTTAATTTCTGCTTAAAATACAAGGAGAAATGCCAACTCCAGCGATGTTAGTTTTAGTCTTTGGAAAATGCAATTTTCAACTCTCTCAAAATAGAATCAAACTCAACTTTAGACTGCGAACATTCCCAATAAAATTCTTTTGAATCACATAAGCAGAGAATTCACTTTCGTTGTTCAAGAAGCAAACACTAAAAGAGTTTAGGGTTCTTCAACTTTAAGCTTAAGCTGCTTAAACAATAGTAAAATCTTCAGCTGACATTCAACTAGGATTATGTCAGGCTGAATACTGTTGAGACAGCCCTCGCACTTGTAAAAAGCTAAATAAATGACTATCAAGTGGACAGCAGAGTTCAAATTGTAGTTGTGTTTGTAGACTAGCCGCAAAGACAAACCTACGCACAGAGATAGATAGGGACAGAGACAGGGAAAGTGAGAGTGAGAGGGAGATATATATATATATATAGTTATAATATAAAGCCATCTATCTAATATGCTATCCGCTTTTGGATCCGTCTACTAAGCTGTGTACAGTCCCTTGTTTGGCTATCCAATTGGATGCTGTCTGCTGTCTGCTGTCTGTTGTCTGTTGTCTGTTGTCTGCTCTGTCTGCTGCTGTTTTCATCTATTTTTTAGTGTGTTTGCTCATATAAATGACATAATTTCACAGATGTTGCCAACAGATTTTTCGTCTTTTCTTTTTGCTTTTTCTGTTTCTTTTCTTTTTGCATATTTTATATAACTTACGTTTCTTTATGGCTGGCAAAGCATAAATTTGTTAAATGCGTTTGCCTGACGCATAATTTATTTATTTATTATTGTCTGAGACGCTCAACTTGGCAATCTCCATTAACAAAACATTCTAAAGCATTGAACAATTTACCCGCAACAAATCTGCTTCATCTTAGATTATTATCTCTAAATTATCTGTACAGACGTACGCTAGGCTGCCTCTGTCTGCTGCAACTTTTGTTTTAAAGCTATTAAAGACTGCACTAGTGAGTGGAAGTGTCCGACTAGCGTATACCCGTTTCTAATTAGTGCACTTTTTAGTCGTTGTTTGGACTTTGGACTTTTTAAATTAAATTTTTAGAGCTCTCTACTCTTTGTCATGCGCTTTTCACAGACTTTATTAAGCAGGAAGTAGATTTGACTGAATGAAACTGGTTTTTCGATTACTTTTGAGACTTTGCTTTAGAGCTAACTGAACAGCTGAACTATACCCGCACTGCAGTTCCAGCTTAAAACTGCGACCTTTAAACAATCGATAGCACAGTCTGAAAACGTTTTTTTCTAATTCTAAAACAGTTTCTATTGGTAAAAAAAAATATTTCTTCACATAAGAAAGCCCCAAATATATCAAAAAATCATTTTTTTTTTTCAATTTCCGTTTAAAGATTTGAGGCCATGAAATACTTTCTCTTTCAACCTTTAAAAAAAAGTAGGCAAAGTCTAGCTTACTTAGCCCTGTTGACATGTGTAATGAAAATTGAAAAGTAATGAAAGTTTGGCTGCAGCAAAAGACTTCGTTTTGTGTTAGTTTTAAACTGTGGCTGCAATACAATTATTTATAAATAAAATAATAATTGAGTGGGCAAGTTCATTCGACGCTGTTCTTCTAGGTAAAAGTTGTCAACTGCTGCCCCTCTACGACTGGCAAATTGTAATGCTAACTGCATTAGGTATTGTGAGGTCTAACAACCACTTGAATTGGCCACAAAATTTGTGTGTGGGCAGCTTGACATAAACCGGTTAAAAATACAAGCAAACAATACATAAACATTTACGTGAGTGCAGGGATAAAGGACCGAAAACTGTCTGCTGTAAGCCTTTACTTCTGCCCCACCTCGAAGGGACGCCTATAAAAGCGACTTAAACGCACACAATCATCTTTTTATGACTTTGATTATTATTGAATCGGATTGAAATTTCGTATTGCTCGCTCGTAATTGTTCAGCAGTTGCTTGAGGGCAAAAGGTTCGATGCGCCCAGCGCGTCAGCTGTGTGCCAAGGGGTGGGCCGTGTGTTCATATTATTGAGCTCAGCTCACATTTGGCCAATAAAAATGGAGTTTTATTTATATTTTATAACTTTTTTATTTGGAAAACATGAATTTGTGCCAAAGTTGTTAGCAAATTGGATGCCTTTCTGAGACCTGAAGCCGCTTGCAAGTGTCTGCAACTTCGATCATCTATGACGACAACGATGAGTGCCTAGTCGGGAGTAAATGACGGCAAAATAACCGGAAGTTTGCTTGGAGTTTGCAGTGATGCATTTTATCCCTAAGGCATATCAAGGTGTTTGTTATAAGTGGAAGTCAGGGTATTGCTCAGTCAGGTTCTTTGATCGAATTGCCTTTTTCAACTGTTTAATTAAATTTCTTTATACTGTAGCCTATGCAGTCTTACGGCTCATCGATCCATTCATGTTCTTTAGTTGTTATGTTTTCTTTATTCTTCAACCGTTTGCATGACGAAGGGCTTCGTCGACCATTTGATACTTAATTTGTTTTATTGGATTAAATACTATTTTGCCCTGGGCCGCCTTGTCTTTCCTTCTCAATTGTGTCAATTAATCCATGTTTTTTTACCCCGCTTCTTTTACCGCACTTGACAGGTAATTTAATAGCGCAATTAAACCGTCCCGTCCCATTCATTCGCTTTAAAGACTAATTGGGGATTAAATGCAGCACAGCAATGATAATAGTCAGAGTTGAAATAATGTTTGTTTTCTGCACATCGACGTTTGTTTTGCTATTAGTTTGTTGACTAAACACAAACATGTGTCCCGAGACTTGCTTATTTTAACACTTATTGAAGACGGCGAGTCAATGTTTAACAGTGACGTTTAATGTAAGGCCATTAAATGGGGTATATTGGCTTTGTGGTTTGTGTATGCAACTGCCAGAAGAAGGCTTGGCGAGGTCTGAGCTTATAATCTTGGTGAAGATTAACAGCTGATTGGATGTGGCCATATTTATCTGTCCATCGATTCGTCCTTTCGTCCAGCTACTTAATATCGAGAACTTCAAAAGCAAGAGACTTGATATTTGTAATATATATTTTTATATACCTAATACAGCGCACGTTATACCTTTTTTTCAATATTTGATCATAAAATAAGGTTAGAATTAATATTTAGATTTAGTTTTTAAAGCATTTTTTTTTAAGACTATTGCAGGTAGAGGCATCAAATTTGGTATGTGTGACTTAGTATTGAGCTCACAGCTTATGAATATTTTATATGTCTGATCTTATAATTGAAGCTCTAGTAAACTGTAAAAGAAAACTTATTTCAAATGCTAGAGGCTTGATTTTCGATATACACACAGATGTTAATGTCAGAGGTATATTCTGAAAATTTCATCAAGATTGGACAACTAGAACTGAAGTTCAAACAGTCTATTACACATAGTAGGGAGCTGACAGAAGCACTAAGGCAAGTGCTTATAGGTGCTTTTATATGTAGTCACACACACACAGCCACGCACACGCTGGTGTATTTATATGTGAAGTGCTTAACTGCAGCTTTAAGCTGTGGCAGGGTATTCTGCAGTCAGGCAGGGCCCAGCACTTGCCAATTATAATTGGAACAACAGAAATATGAAAGTTGATTAAATTCACACATTTCAACGATTTCAACAATATTATTTAAAATATGTGCATAAGTAGCAACTGTGTTTGATTAAACAAATATGCAGGGAACGGTAATATTTCAGCTGCTGCTAGAATGTGTTGCATTTATCTCTTGCTGCTGCTGCTGCTGCTGTTGATGCTGGCCTCCATATGGACCAATGATAACTGACAGCCTGAACAGATTTCGGTCGCATTGTCGTCGATGCCGTCAATGTTCAATTTATTTTCATTTCGCTGAGCGAACGAACGAACCCGCGAACGAGCGAGCGGTTAATTGCATTTTATTTATTGGCTTGTCAACGGCAGCTGCAATTAAAACTCTTGGCAACAATTTCAGCCTTTAAACTGGGTCATGTTTAAGTGTGTGTGCTCAGCCCTATGATAAATGCATTCAGTAAATTTTTTATTTATTTATTAATGCTTAAAATGTTTTTACCTTCACAAGGGCTTAAACTCGGGCGCTGTGAATTTACAAAAATTACTTTTGAAGTATTTGTAAATTTGTTTGTTTAATGTTTGTTCAACAGGGCGTAGACAACCTTAAAATCATGTATAAAAGTTGCGAAAACTGTTTAATTACTCAGTGAATCCCATTGAACCACTTTGGCAACTCGATTTATGTAAACTTTTCCCGATTCTCACATCAATTTTGTGCATTAAAGTGAATAAAATATGTTTATATTAATTTCTAAGGATGCCAAACTTGGTGCTCTGTAAATGAAAATACAAATGAGCTGGGTCAGTGTGAAAAATAGTTTGTAGAACAGTTTAAATACGCTGAATTTGCTTCTCAAGCGGAACTTTTAATTAATATGACTCGATGTGATTCAGTAAGCAATTGCAAAACATCTCAAGGCCATGCTCAGATATATAAAGACAAGGAAATTGAAGGCAAGCCCAGTTGAGTACTCTCGAGATAACCTTGAAAGTATCGTAATGGGAAAAGGAAATTGGAAAAGCGCAGAAAATCGTGAGTAAAGCTCGGCCAAGCAGCAACTTGATTGAAATCGAATAGACAAATGTCAACAATAATAGCTTGAAGTAAACCACCTACAGTATGTTAAGCTTAATTAAAATCAGATATGAAAACGATGCCAAGCAGCTTATATATAGCAAAGTATATGAGAAAGTGATATTTTTACATATTGCAAGACTCACTGAACAAACTTTGAAGGCGCCTGGGTGGTTGCTGGTAAACATGGCACATAAATTGGAACGTCAAACCCAATTTATGGCGTATGGTCAGCGACTTCCTGAGGTGCCTCCAAAGTTGATCAAATCAGTCTTACAATATATACGACCTATAAATTGGGTTTGACGTTCCAATTTGTGCGCCAAGCTTAACAGCGCTTGCCTCAAACCCAATTCTTAAGCCACATTCATCTTCCGACTGCCTACAGTCAATGGTGCCTTGATCTGGTCTGAGTAGCACTACAAATGATTCTTTCTAAAGCAGTCAAATATTCTTAAATGATGCTCGCTTTATTAAATAATCGAAATCGCTAGCCTAAATGCTGTCTTATCTTGGCTTAGAGCACACCAAATTTTTAACTCAATAATCTTATATGTTAGCAAAATTAATGCTTTCAAAATTTAGCTTAAATATGAATAACTTAAATATGAATTTTAGATTTTATTTTTAAGCTTACACAAAGTCTAAAATGACTTGTCTGTGTTATATATTATACAGCCCTTTGCTTATATAAATGTTCCTTTTGTGATTTCATTTTAAAATAATTTGGAAAATTTTAAAAAATTTTCCACATTTATCTAGCATTTCAAATCGAGTCGAAGCACATTCATATAATATATATTAAAATAATAATAATAATAAATACAGTTTTGAGTTGAATTCATATCACTTTAGCTTTAGCTAGCTGTGTTTATAAGGTGTTTAATATAATTTCAAGGCTCTTCAGCAATCTTTTCTATAAACTAAGTAAAAAAGTCTGTGTTTTATATAATTTCAATTTTAGTTTCTATTTAATTTTAAAGCAAAGTTGAATTTGGCCCACGACCGACTTTAATTAACGAATTCGATTTGTGTTTATAAATTTATAGCTGTCATTTGATAAATATGTTGCTCGTTGGCCTGGGCAGGAAAACAGGGAGCGACAAGCTGTTGACAGCTGTTGGTTTTGCATTGTTGCTCAGTTGCTGTTGCCGTTGCCGTTGCCGTTGCTGTTGCTGTTGCTGTTCAGCCTGCCAGCCATTGTTTATGGATGTTTTTGTAAAATTTATGCAGAGAGACATTTTGGCTAGAAACATATTTGCATATTTGTTATTTGGCTTTGCGGCCTACGGTAATCGAACGAAATGCGATTGGAATTTGCGATATTTAATGCCAATGACGATCTATTAATTATGCGAATTTCTATTTAAATTTTATATATTCTCGTTGTCTTACCCAGATTTTCGACCTGACAGGGCAGCACGAGTGTGTCGCCCACCACGGCGCGATAGGTGTGTCCGCGTGACAGGAAACGCGGCTGCGCCGCCGTCAATGAGGTGGACGAGGCCGCAAGGGGCTGAGCGGCATTGTTACCTGAAAGTAGAAGAAGCAAATGGGTATATAGAAACAGCAGACGCAAGTTCTTATCGCATATCGAATATAAATTTATGTTCCATTGAAATGTCTTTCAATTAGCATAAAAATATATTACCTTACTCTCCCCAATACATAACTCCCCGGATGCTCGTAAGCATTTGCTGTGGCGCGTATCGATGCCACCTGATATGCTCAATGTTCACGCAGCATATTGAACCATTTGGTTTCCTTGGGGCATCGTTTGGAGTGGCGAAAATGCCTTAAGCCACTTTCAACGACGTTTTAAGCTCGTCTGACTTAGGCCAGGCAGCTAGCCAGTTAGCTAGTTGGCCAGTTGGCCAGCTAGCCAAGACATGTTCGCCTTTTCACATTGGCGACAAATGTGCGCGACGAGGCAACTAAAGTCTGCCCCCAAGACCCTAAGCGAACTTTCAGTAGTTGCTCAAGTTCTTAGCTCAAACACCAACGCAGCGTGACAAATTTGATTACAATAGCTGCAACAACAGCAGGATTCGTGAAAAAATAAAAGTTTGCCATCAAAAAGCGCCCCAAGGAGCAAGTAAGACTGCTGGCATTAAGCAGGCAGGTACTGTCAGAAGACAAGTCGAGTGTATTCTGGTCGGGAGTGAACGACTAGCAAATACCCGGAACTGAGCGCAGAGATGCTGTCATCTTGAATGAGATATCCAGAGACAGACAGAAGAGAGTCTGTTCTGCGTGCTGTTCCCTGCTATGCGAAACAGACTGAAGGAGCTTGGGCTCTGGAGTTCTAATCTTCTTGAAATTTTCAGGAGTTAAACCAGATATTCTTATGTGTGAGTATACTAAGGACTCTCTCAATATTTTAAAGAGAAGAGCTGAATATATCCTATAGTCATCTATAGCATTCCTATGAATGAATAGCCTAAGTATTGAATATATAAACTCAGCTGTTGGTCCTAGTAAAGAGCATAAACACATAGAATCAGCTAAGCCACATTATACCCCTTCTCAATGAGAGTATTAAACTAGCTACATCAGCAAATCTCTCTGGAAAAACAACGCGTATACGCACTGACTGCACTTTTGCATTTTTATGACGCCCAGAGACACATGGTCTGGACATTGGCAATGTTTTCTCCACACGGCCAACATCTTAGTTGCTGGCACTTAGCTAGCAGGTGACTTATCCTCTCTTCGCCCAGTTCGCTGTGGTTGCACATTCCTCGTTTTATGGCGAACAACTTGGAAATGCTGTTGCACATTAAATTTGATGAGAACCTTAAAGCTGAAGCGGGAGAAATGTGAATGAAGTTTACTCGATACAGCTCCTCTGACTGGTCTGAATTGCAGTACGAAGACTTCTTCACTTCTTTTCAAGCAGTTGTCAAACTGTGCTCTACGTCACAGCGGGTGGCATAACATAAATATCGCTTTCAAGCTCGAAGCTGTAGTGTGCCATATCTGAGAAGAATTACTTTGAAGCGCAGTATATGATTACGAAGATATGGATAAACATTCTATCTTATAAAACTGGGAAATAAAACTGCAGCACTTGCAGGTGCATTGTCTTCATGTGAGACAGAAGCTAGAAGAAAGCTTTCAGCCTCTCGGCAGAATCATTCGTGTCAGCTGAGCCCCAACGAAATGTGTCAGAGCCTTGGACACATGCACTGCAGCTGGCCTTAAATTGCATGCATGAAATGCATAAGAAATTTAAGCAATTTAAGTCGAGCGAGCTGTGCCTGCTGGCAGAGTTGGCATAGGGCAGGGTGCGCTAGGTGGGTATGCTCGACTAGCTAAGTTTTCTCTTTCACTTTGGAAGACTTTTAGTTAAGGTGTCTTCAAGTTAAAGTGATCCTGTGGGATGTGTCTGACTAAAAAAGTTTTATTTTTCAATTTGAAAGAGTTTCAGTTAAGGTACCTTAAACTAGGAGGCATCTGGTCGGGAATGCTCGACTAACGAAGTTATACTTTTCAATTTCAAAGAGATTCAGTTCAGGTATCTTCAACTAAGAGTGCTGTAGCAGGGTATGCTCGACTAACTAACTTTTCTTTTTCAATTTCAAAGAGATTCAGTTAAGGTACCTTAAACTAGGAGGCATCTGGTCGGGAATGCTCGACTAACGAAGTTTTCTTTTTCAATTTCAAAGAGATTCAGTTCAGGTATCTTCAACTAAGAGTGCTGTAGCAGGGTATGCTCGACGAACTAACTTTTCTTTTTCAATTTGAAAGTGGTTCAGTTAAGGTACCTTAAACTAGGAGGCATCTGGTCGGGAATGCTCGACTAACGAAGTTTTCTTTTTCAATTTCAAAGAGATTCAGTTCAGGTATCTTCAACTAAGAGTGCTGTAGCAGGGTATGCTCGACGAGCTAAGTTTTCTTGTTCGATTTGAATGAGTTTTAGTTTAGGTATCTTAGACTAAGAGTCTTCTGGTTGGCTGTGCTCGACGAGCAGCTACAATAGAGGCTCTGACATGCCTTCCTCAGCCTGTGACATACGCTGCCAACAGCATACCCCATTTAGCAACTTTCAATGGCTTCCATGCATAATGTCTTGCAACTGCAACGCACCCGCACTTTCAAGTGGTGCACACCTCGCACACACTTAAGAAGAAACAACTTTCATCAGTCTAAGTGTGTTCGTCTGTAAATCAGTTTGCCTCGTCGCTCTTAAACTTGGATTTGTTGAGCTCTTGGCTACATTTCATTGCTGCCTTTGGCAACTGTCTTTTATGATTTGATATGTGCGAGGTTAAAGTAAACAATTTCAGATTCGAGATCTACAAAGAAAATTCTCAGGCACAAACTTTGCTTGACAGTGTTATTAATATGGCTCAAGTCTCTCAATATGCGTGTGTCTGCCGCTAGAGTATTTCAACTTCGTTGTGGCACAGTCAGCTCCACTTTCTTGCCTTTGCTTTTTTGTTAACTTTGCACGCTTCTGCACTGAGTATCTGCTCAGTGCTGAAAAATGAGCTGCAACGTGTCTCCTTTTTTGTTTGTTGCATGGCTAGAATTAGGTCACACACACACACAGGCACACAAAGCGCAGACAGTTAACGAAAACAAATGCACACCTGCTGTGTCTGTGTGTGTGTGTGTGTGTGGAGGTATATACTTTAGATTTGTGCTCGAGTGCTTACCGCAAATGCCTGTCGTCTGCGTCGTCACACAACAAACTCGATTTTAAAAAGCGCAGTTGTTGCTTGAATAATTTATCTAAAACACACACGCACACACACAGACATTTTGAAGTGTTCAGGTAGGCAGACAGGTGAGTTGGCAACACAAACACTACACAGCTCTGCCTCTGACTCGACAAGGTAATGTGGCGCTGTGGCGCTGCGGCGCTGCGGCTCTGTGGCTCTGTGTGTGTGCCAATGTGTGAATGTGGTATTAGCGCTTTGCTTTTGTTCATAAAACGCAGAGCCATCCTTTTGCCAAAGGGCTTTGTTTGTTGCACGCACCTTGCCACAGCAGCAGCAGCACCAGCAGCAGCGACAGACATTTCAATGCGAATGTCATTCATATCGAGTGTTCACGCAGCTCCAATTCCATGTCTCTCTGTGGTTTCTAGTTTCTTTTTTTTTGTTTTTTTGAGTGAAATGTTTTGTAACTATTGCTGAAAAACAGCTGCTCAAACAGATGATATGCTTGTTCGCGCTTAACCGCAGCGCTAGCTTTGAGCTCTGTCGAAATTGAATTTGCAATTATGACGCACTGTAAAGGGCTTAAACAGGGCATCAAGTTGCTATGCAAATGAATGTAACTGGCAGAAGAAGCCTTGACTGAGTCAATGTGTTCTTAAGCAGCAAAACATTAATCTTTCTCAGACTATGACTTGGCAAAGCATCCAGCTCGAGCGGTTCAAAAGAGACTTAAAAGCTAACAGTCTTATATACATACATACATCATTCTTTTTACATAATATCGATAAATATCGATACTTTTATTATTGATTTTTGAGCATATAATTTTGCTATTGTAATACTCTTACGACTAATCCTTCTCGGTAGAGTTCTTCCTCCTTTTTCACATGCTGAAAGTTCAAATATTGTTAGCTGCACACATTTAGCTGTCATCTTCATGCTCTTTAAATTTCAACAAGATCATATGTATAGAAGCCAAGTTCATTCAGTCTGTTTCTAATGGTGGGTTGTTTTGGTAAGTACAAGCGCAACCTTACTTAGCGTCTTGCTTACTCAAGTGTGTGTGTGTATGTAACTATATATAGAACAAGTCTGAGATCATTCAAAAATTAGTTTTACTCTACTTTCGCGGTATCTTCTAGTCGTGCACTCCCCCATAAGAAGCCCATACGCCGTTAGCTGTTACATCCGTACGAATACAATTCGCGCTATGAGTGTTATTTCCTAAAATGATTCATTTTATATAACAAACAAAGGACGCGCTGTCCAGCTGTAAAATAGCGAATTCGCTTCATCATTTTACTCGCACGCGCGCACCTTTACAGGTGGGCTGTGAGCGCCGTGCAGGTGAGTCATATGCATATTGCAGCACATCATTCCGTTGTATTGGTATCTTTTCTCATTTCCTGTGGCTGGGGTGGCTCTAACAAACTTTGTTTTGGTTTTTGCGGTAAAGTTGGACGCGACGACACCTTTCAAACTGAGCATTGGCGATGCTCTGGGCAAACGCTAGGTGTTGAGCTCGCTCACCTGTACACAGGTTATATACGTTTACACAGCACACGTAAGCGCCACATTTTGTTTCATTAAAACTTTGGCTAGATATGCTCTGTGTGGTGTGTGTGTATGTGTGTGCGTGTGTGTGCGCGTGTGTGTGTGTGTGTGCGTGTGTGTGTTTGCGATCAGCATCTTTGCATGTTTTGCTATTAGTTTTGTGTTTACTTCTCTTTAGCATCCACCTGACGGCGCTGCTCTATCTGCAATTCACAGCATTTTAAATTATGCACAGGAAAAACGGCGAGCAGCGAGAAAAATAACAAAAATATATAGAAAATGTCCAGCTGACATGACAAACATTGAATACTC